TATGCAAGGTTATGAATATGTTAATTAGCTTGATTGTGATAACCATTTCATAATATATATATTTATTTAAATATCACATTGTATACCTTAAATATACACAATTTTGTCAATTATACCTCGATAATGCTGGACAGGAAAAAAGAATTACCCAAAACTGTATATAATGTCTTATATTTCCAAAAATTGAACGTTTGTTTCACTTAGCAAACTTAGGTAGCCCTGAGATGATATTCTTTAAGGCCCTAAAATAGAAGAATATAATTTGTTTCATAAAACAACTTGATTTTTATGGGGCCAACTGTTCAACAACATATTCACAAATATCGATGAATAGCCTACTCTATGCCAGGCTCTGTTCCGGAAATATAGCAGTGAATAAATAACATTGCTAATGCTCTGGAAAGGTAGTTCTCGAACTAACTGTGCAGCAGAATCATCTGCAGGGCTTGTTAAACACAACACAGATGGCTGAACCCCACCCCCAGAGCTGCTGATTCAATGGGTCTGGAGTGAGGCCCCCAAACCTGCATTTCCGTGCTAGGTCTCACCGATGCTTCTAGTCCCGGGCCCCCCAGCATGATAATTACTGATCTAAAATAGACCTCCTTCTCCTCCTTTCTTTCAACAGTAAGATCCCTTGAAGGAGTGGACAGAAAACTTAAATTCTCAACAGCTCTACCTCTCTTTGCAGCTTCGTGGATAGGGGATGCCAGATCGCTTGCAGGGTAAGGGATGGCTCCGTGCTGCAGAAGCAAGTTCACACAGTCGTGGCTGCCGCTGACACAAGCATTAAACAGGGGTGTGCGCCAGTCCGAGGTGATGCCGTTCACCTGGAAAGAAGAGCCCCGCCATGAATGCAGGCAGTGGGGCGTCCTGGGTTCGAATCCAGATTCCGCCACTCCTGAGCTGTTACGTAAATTCTCTGAGCCTTAAATTCCACAGCTATAAAATGAGGACAAAAACATCAAATTCCACAAAGTGGTCGTGAAAACCTGAATGAGGCATGGAATGTAAGGCTCCAAGAACGTTACCGAATGTTCTATCTGCTCCGTGCCATCTCCAGGAACACAAACTCTGAAACCAGTTAGGATCATTTTGATGCCTCACAAATGAATCTTTTTATTTTCAATATTCCATCCTGGGTCCATCTCACATCAATCCAGTTTCTTCGCAACAATCAGAGTAACTTTCTAAAATTAATGTACCATTTAAAAAAATTTTTAAACGCGATCTTCATACAAATATACTGAACACGTGCCAAAGTTTTTTTATTTTTTCAACTCATTTTTTAATGAGGGAACCAGTAAGATGGTAACGCTGGCTCAAAGGAGAATTTATACAGTCAGTCAATGGAATGCTGAAATAAATTTGCTAGTAGAAACAAAATTGGTTAACGCCCTATATGGCCATAAAACTATAATCTTTGGGGCTATCTTTTCTAATGTTGGAAATGAGACAGAAACATCCAAGTTAGCATCTAGCCTCACAGGGTTTGGCCTGTAACTTAAGAGGAAAGAGCAAAGCCAAATGCAGATACATTTTTCTATATTGTTAACAAAATTCTTTGGTGAGCCAGTTAAACAATAATATCGTGAGGCGAGGCCAGGACTAGTGAGGCACAAAAGATGCCCAGGGGTACAAAATTTAAGGACACGCTCGTTCCCCCGGGAGTGAGTGACGCTTTAAAGTTTGCTCCCCAGGCACTTCTCTTGTCTTTCCTTAGACTTTTCCTGTTTCCGAGCGTTGGGTGTGTTTTCTTAACCCAAATGTAAACGTGATGGTGCACTCACCTATGGCTGTCCGCTGCGCTCAGGACAAAGCCCATTTTCTTGGCATGGACAACAACGGTGTTTGTAATTCTGACCCCTCTCACCCGCTCTACTTTCCTGCTATAAGCATGAGCTGAAGTCACACAAATGTGCTCACTATCACTCCCGAGCTTTTGCACTTAGTGTTCCCAGTGGGTAAGAAGTCCATAACTTTCCCCGACCCCTTTAGCTGACTAAATCCGACAGGTCCTGGACGGTTCGGCTTAGACATCACTTCCTATAGGAAGCCTGTTTTGACTCACTCTCTCCCCATCAGAAAGAAACGGGTCAGGAACACTTTCATGTGCTCCAACAACCTCCTTGCTATTAATACTTATTATATTGTGGTAGTTTGCAAAAATGGCCCCAGATTGTCTGCACGGCGTGCAATGTAGCTTTGCAATTCTTCATTAGATGAAGACTATTTTTCCGGTCCTCGAATCTGGGCTTGCCCACGTGACTTGCTTTGGCCGATAAATGGGACAGTACAAATGTGCTTTGATCAGAGAGCTTGCCCTCTTCTGCCTTCCAGGCACCCTGCTGAAGGATAAGAGACCATACAGAGAATTTCTGCCTTCCCAGACATCTCGGCAATCCCAGTAAAGGTCATCAGGAGCCAGCCTGCTCCAGCCAACCTATCAGCTAACCTCAAATGCATAAGTAAGCCCACCTGGGGTCAGCCGAACATGTCCTAAAGAGCTGTCCGGCCAACACAAGGAACTGCGAGGTAAATAAATGGCTGTTTCCTTAAGCCATTAAGTTGCGGGGCTTACGACATAGCACAAAACTTATGGACAGAAACAGTGTATTGTAGCTGGCTGCTGTGGCTGAGATGCTATGCATTCAACAAGGCTATTTCCTCTCTCTTGGGCACACAGCCATACTGCATTTCCCAGCCTCCCTGGTACTTAGAGGTGGCCTGAGTTCTGGCCAACGAGATGTGGGCAGAAGTGATATATGTCACTACCTTGACTGGTCCTTAACATGTATTCACACACAATCCTCCACATCTTTTCCCCTTCCAACCACCTAGAATGGAGGCTACCTCCAGAGCACAAACAGAAGTCCCCTGTTGAAAATAATGGAGCAGGATGGAAGACGCCTATATTCCTGAATCAGCCTTGGAAAAGAGCCACCCAACTAACAACACCCACACTGGGATGTCAGCCTTCAGCGTTTATCTACTGACACATCTAACGTTACAGACACTGAAACACATGTTTATCTGGCCATCTGCTCGTTTAGTTTATAAGTTCTTAAAAATCTTTATCCAGAGCTAGGCATATAATAAATGCTCAGTAAATAGTGGCTGAGAGAATATGAGAACCTCATATATAATTTTCTGATCAGATTTTTCCCATCGCTTTTGAGCATGAGGAAACTTAGTGAATGGAAGACCTACTGGTCCTACTTTGAAATTCAATGACTCTGTGTCTTCCTTCTTCCTCTAGGATCTCTCATTATGCCACCGTGATTCTCATTCTCCAAATAATAATCATATACCTCATCTCTTTCGATCTTTGCAATACCATAATACATTGTATAACTTTTTTTATTATTATTTCCCCCGTTTTTCAGATGTCTACTCTAAAACTCAAAGGATAAGAAACTTGCTTGAATGTCCAATGCTAGTATATGATGGTAGAGACCATCATTCAGGTTGGGAGCCAAATGTTAGCAGTTTTCTACAACATTCCATTACCTTCAAGCCGTAGGAATGAAGACAGAAATCTAACAGCTATTTATTAGTAGTGACTATTAAAGAAAATGACACAGACTTGAACCATTACTTTCTAGCTAAAAGTTCAGTATTTTATCTATTGCTAAGGCCAATAAGCTTGAAGTATATAATACTTTTGAAAAACACCCCCTCTTCATATTTCAAATCAGGCTAATCAAAAATGCTGGCAATTATCCTGAAGGGACAGAAATAGTCATTTTTCATTCATGGTTTCCTAAGATGTTATTTGAGCTGCACTTACCTGAGCTCCATGCTTTAATAACATCTTCACACAAGAGGGATGACCTCCGAGACAGGCTTCATGGAGTGGGGACACATTATCTGCTGTGATGAGGTTCACAGTCCACCCCTGGGGAAAGGGAAATGAGCAGAGTAAGGGGTATAAAGCATCGGTTCCATAGTGTAGGTTTTCAGCCACAAATACGGTATTATGACAATATTTTTAAAAGTTAATCTGGCTTAAAATCTGACAGTACACTAAGGTGTTGACAATAATGTAGAAAAATAACAAATAAAGGATCTTTCAAACTGCCGTGCGAGTGTGATACGATATAACCACTCAGGAAAACAGTTTGACAGTATCTATTAAGGTTGATGATACGCCTACCTGTGACCCGGCAATTTGACTCTTAGGTATATACACTCAAGACTGACTTTCGTTTTGCTCTCACTCTCTCTTGTTCTCTCACTTGGTGGCTGATTGTTTTGATGAGGTCCATGACAAGGAACTATTCTCGCATTTATTCTTGCATGGTTGGGCTTGCCCTGCTGTGCTCCAGCCTTCTGCCATGAGAAGAAAATTTCTCGTGTAGCCACTGGTCAAAGAAGGATGGGAGACACGTGCCGCAGAGCTGCACCCAACCCGCGGCTTGGAGCCAAGCCCGGCCTGAATCAGCTGATACAAAGACTTGTTAGCAAGAAATGTTGATTGCACTGTGCCACTGAGTTTGGGATGGTTTGTTACACAGGAAGATCTGACTAATGCAGGTAGGTACTGGAATGCTCATTTTATGAAGGCAGAAATTGAGGTTCCAGGAAGATAACTTCTTCAAATAATGTGATACGGCTTAGTTAAAGACATGGTTCCAGCCGATGTTCAGTAAACATATAAATACTGAATATAAACAAGTATCAGTTCAATTTAATAAGTGGCATATAAAAGCTGCAATGCTCATTTTTCATCCTATCGAAAGAAGGTAAATGTTTCATTTTATCCGAGAAGCAGCCTAACTTCTTTTAGCTAGAGTTATGTGTTAGTACCTATATATCTATTTATAATAAGTCGTTGCTATCAGAAACAGCTTAAGATAGTGGCCCGGAGTAGTCTGAAATTTTTCTTTAAAAGCTGTTTTCTTATAGGAGGATTATTTAGTCTAGAAATGTCCATGAAATTGGAATTTTTAAAAAATAAGGCACGTTTTTTTCCACTAACTACTGCCTGAAATTTATCAAGTCCTTCAATCATGTATTCGATTATGAATACAGCAAACCACAATAGTAACAGCAGTATATAGGACTATCATGGAGAGGAATCACAGATATTTTTATTACATTATGATTGTCACACATATTTAAAATATTAAAAATATACCTTCATCCTACTTAGAAATTATGATAGTCATTAAATGACCACTAAATCTTATTTAGCGCATTAATAAAGAAGTCCACCTATTACTACGTCACACGTTTGTGGCGTAACAGTTTGACAGGTTTCCTCCGTATTGTGTTTTGTGCACTTAAAACATTAATCTGAGAAGGGGTCCACAGACTTTGCCAGACTGCCAAAGGGGGCTGTGGCACAAAAAGGTCCAAGAGCTTTTAACTGCAAAGATCTATCATCTTTTCAGAGACCAGAGCATCCTGAACAAAAACTTTTTTAGAATTCTGAATAATGATTTTAACTGCATTCTTAAAAATGCCTCTGCCTAAGTTCCCAACAATTTCAAACCAGCAAAACTCAAATTAATGTGTACTTGAAATTACACCTGAAGAGCAGGGAAATTAATATCAAACTAAGCAGAGTCACTATCAACTGGAGATTCAAGAGAACTGAAAATGTCTTTGAAATGACAAGATTACATATTTAAAAAGACATTTTTGAGCATTTTTTTTTACCTCAGGGGTTTTCGACCACAGCACCATTGACATTTTGGGCTGTCCTGTGCAACGCAGTATGTCTAGTAACATCCCTGGTCTCTATCTACTGGATACCAGTATCGACCCTCCGCCCCCACTCCCAGTTGTGACAACCAAAAATGTCTCCGGCCATTATCATATGTCCCCTAAGGGGTAAAATCACCCCAGTTGAGAATCAAAACTACATGATAATTTTTAGGACATAGTCTATTGACTGAAGCGAAGGCAACTTGAATGTACTAATTTGCCCATTATTCATTCAATAGATATTTATTATAGTACCTACTATGTGCATGGGATTGAGCTAAATTCTAGCATTATGCCAGTCTCCAGGTTAAAAACAAAATGGTTAGATAGGATGGGATTCACCTCACTTTGAGGAGAAATTTATATCCGAATATCAGGCTATGATTTTTTTTTTCCTCAATGTGGCGAGTAAAAAGATGTGCTTAGTATTTATTTTATTTTATTTTTTCAAAAAGCTACCTACCTGCCTGATGAGATACTTCAAAGAGAGCAGCCGCCCTCTCATCGCAGCTTCGTGGACGGGAGTCCGATCAGACACAAAATCTGCGTGGAAAGGGAGGAACGGGTTACATCCTGCTGATGTACTTTAGACCCAGAGGCTCATCCTTGCCCATCATTAAGATCCTAACGAGTCTTATTGGATAGAGACATTGGAGTCAGTCAACCAAAACTCCCATCAGGACTTCAGCATTTCTCCCCTCTATCGATGTTTCTGTACACAGTTTATTTGAAATGTCTGCTTAGCTAAAGAAAGAACTACAGCCAGTATCCAAACTAGGGACAAAAGAGGTAGATCGGGATGACAGATGGATTACCGTTCTTCCATTTACACGCACTGATTTCAAAAGTAAACGGTCCATTTAGTTAAGTGAGAGCTTCGCTAATTACCAGCATTAATATGTTAAGCTGTGGTTGCCAGTCTAGTTTCCTCCGTGAAATACAAACTTTGGCATCTCAGCAAACAGTGCCATATACTAATAGTAGTAATCAGGTAATTACATACACCATTAGGTTTGGAATCAAATCTAAACAGAACCATATCTCTTTATGGATTAGCGCCTGTGCGGGTATCAAGTGCAAATCAGAGTGCAGTCTGACCTTGTAACAAGGACATTATTTACGCCCCAAAGGCAGCATGCCAATGTGGTTAACAGAAAGCTGTGAATTCAGACCCGCTTGGCTTATGAGCTGTGGGTCCCCGGACAGGCCATAAACTTCAGTTTCCTTCTCTGTAAAGTGAGGACAGCAGTATACTTGCCCATGGCTCAATACCTATTAGCTACTATTAGTCTTGATTACACCCCATACTCACTGCTATTTAAAATAGCAAATTTGTTCCACAACCATATGGAAGGAACACACATTCCTAGGAAGGAAGCCCGTAAACCCTAGCCAAACACATTCAATGCTTTCCTCTCTCTTTCTAATTGAGTGTGGATGTAATCTGAATGAGGCTTTCCTCTCTCTTTCTAATTGAGTGTGGATGTAACCTGAATTTTTCTCATCTCAATCTGCATCTAATTTCCAAAACAAACGCAGGAAGTCAGAATGTAAGGAGGCTCCTCTGAGCTTGCTTCAGCTCCAGCTCTGCCTGCTTGAGTAAATACAATCGAGGCAGAACGGGTCTGACACCAGTCCCGCCTTGTAAAGGAACGCATATCTCCTAAAAGCTGAGAAGCCCTGGAGACCCAGCGTAGTTACCAATGTCTGACAAAACGAAAGGGCGTAAAGGAGGAGGGGAGAACGCTCTGGATTTAGCACCTGTTGGCTGAGGTCTGCTTGCTCCATGGAGTTATCAATGCCCCGGAAAATCTGTCCCAGTGAGCAAATTACCACCCTTCCAGATGGATTCATGAAGCATGTAATAGGTAAGAGGAAGCTGAATGAGCCCGTCTACACATCCAATCAATGCTTTCTTTCTGGGCTCACTAATAGGGGGCTTGAGGCACCTTAAGTAAAGTGGTTTTTCCTACCTCCAAAACCTTATGCTCAGTAGAAATTCAGTGTCCTCAAAAGCATTCTCTGAGGTTTCTAAATCTCTCAGGAAAAAAATATTGCTGCTTCTAGCACTGGGAGCCTACAACCCAGACTGTAGATACAGAAAGATTTCTCTCCGAATTAAGAGTTAAAAGGACAACTAATTCTATCCTGTTGGTCTTAATGCAAAACACCATCTACACAAAATCTCGAGTGAGAAGAAAAAGCCAAATATTGAAAAAGGTTTCGAAAATCAGTCACAAATAGATTTGCAAATTTATCCTAATGGATTACCGTGTGTGATGATTAATCTATTTTCCCCTCCAAGTGCTCAGCTGCTAAGAAATATAGCTGCCACACTCCTCAACCTTTCTTAAAGCTATCACAGATAATTAGAGGCGACAGCCTAAACAGTCCAGGCAGGTAATTTAGGTTCTAAATGGTAAATCTGTTCAGATTTCATTAAAATGATGCAATTATATTATCAAGTGTAGACAAAAATGGGCTTTGCTTTCCATTCATTCACCCTGGAACCATTACTCCTTCTGTTTAGGGTAAATGAAGAATTATGTACTTCTCTAAGAGAAAAAAAAAAAAAAAGACTACCTGAGGTCTTGTACCCCTGCTTGAGAATGTAGCCTTTACAGAGCCGTCTGTGTCTTTGAGAGGTACCGGGTGTTATCCCAGTACACGTGGTAGGTGGCTGACAATAGCTATCTGTCTAACAGCTTTATTGAGTTACAATTCGCATACTCTACAATCTACCCATTTAAAGTCTACAATTCAATGATTTTCAGTATATTGAGAGCTATACAACCATCACCACAATCAATTTTAGAACATTTTCATCATCCCCAAAAGAAACCCCTTGCCCTTTAGCAGTCGCTCCCCATTTCTATTTCCCCCAACCCCTAGAAAACATGGATCTATTTTCCATCTCTATGGATTTGCCTATTCTCGACATTTCATATAAATAGAATCATACAATACATGGTTCTCTGTCACCATCTTCTTTCACTGAGCATAATGTTTCAAGGTTCACCACAGTACTTCATCCCTTTTTATGGCCAGATAATATCAATTGTATAGATAGACCACATTTTATGTATTAATTCACTAGTCGATAGACGTTTGAGTTATTTCTACTTCTTGGTTATTATTAATAACGCTGCTATGAAGATCCATGTACAAATTTTTGAGTGGGCTATGTTTTCAGTTCTCTTGGGTAGACACCTAGGAGCAGAACTGCTTGCATCATATAGTAAGCCAATGTTGAGCCTTTTGTAGAACTGTGACTATGGCACTTTGTAGTCCCATCCGCAGTGTATGAGACTTCTCTAATTTAAAGTCTTTTCAGACTAGGGCTTGGTAAGGCTAGCACAGTTGTGCCTATACTGCCCAGAAGAAAAACTTGGGTCCTTTTAAAGCCAAAATTCATCTGAAATTTATACAAGGACTTTAACCTCAGCAGGTCTCTGAACAATTGAGTGATTATGTAAAAACTTAAAATTGTGACAAGGTTAATATTTTTCTAGCATCAAGAGCATGAATTATGTATGTGTGTGCATATATGTGTATACATACATACATACATACATACATACATACATACATACATACATTTGTATACACACATACATACAGTTTAGTAGCAAACGCCACAATCTGTAACATGAACTAGTCCATGCACACACTTTCTTTAGCTCTTGAATACACTGAAGACACATCCGATGTTTCTCCAGGCTTTTCCAGAGCCCATACTCCAAACACTCAACGAGCTACAGGCTCAGCGTGTGCGAATTAAACCCAGAAGCGGCTTTGCGTGCCTTCCTGATAACTGGAGAGAGGAGAATCAATGGGAAAGGGGATCTTTTCCTGCTAAAACATGGATGATGCTCACGGTAGGAGACTATGGATAAAGGGGAGATTCAAGGTCACAATTCCCTTTCCACCGACCCCACCAAAGTCTTCGAAACGCAAGGACCATTATCTATATAAGACACATTATCCAAGCCCTTGGTATATATTAAAGATTTCTTCTCCAACACTTGTTCAGCCAAGGTCTATTGGTTTTACTGCCAAAAAATAGATGCTAAATGAGGTCAACGGTGACGCCATAGATCCAGTAGCTCATGGTTAAATGGGGCAGGGAGCTGTCCTAACGAAACCACTCCATAAGTCCTCCAATTAGTGCAATTACACTTGCCTTTCTTTTAAATTGAGTACCTACCAAACTCTGCAGCACATTAGGAAGGCTGCCATTTCATTTTTATTGCAATTTCTGGAATGATTTTTTTTAATTTCCATTATTTCAGAAGAGATTAAAAATGCACTACTTGGTACATTCTAAAAAGAGCTATTAACGAAGCTCTGAGAGCCCCCCAGTGAATGCTGAGCAGTGGCGCAAATCTATCCACCCTTGGAAACATTTCACAAGGTCAAGGGTTAAAAAAGAGAGGCTGGGTTGCTCTGAGAGGGCAAAAGCATTTGCCTTCGGTCTTTGGGACGTGACAGGGCAGGCTCATTCCTCCCCTATCTGATCCTGAGGTCTCTTGATTCCCAATCTGTATTCATTCCTCAGCCCCGGTCCCACATAAAGGCTGTGCACATTGGCCGCTGGCACTTTTATGTTCAAAACAGAACTCCTTACCCTCCCTTCCCCACTCTACTCCCAAGCCAGCTCCCCTTCTCAACTTCTCCTTTATCTAGCCCTCTTATCTGACATTAAGCAACTTTAGGATTGAAAACTTTACAATTTGGGCTGCTTGCTGTCCTTTACCTCCAATATTCGATCAAGCAATAACTCGATTTCTCTCTCTTTTGAAATTATCACTCCTACTTTTCCTTTCTCTGTCATTTCCAAGTTGGATCCAAATGTAAGGTTCACGCTTGGATTAGTGCACTGGTTCTCAAATGGCACCATCAGCATCACCTGGGAGCTTGTTAGAAATGCCAACTCCCAGATGCCCAGCCTCCACCCTGAGCCACCATGGCATCAGAAGCTCTAGGGGTGGGGCCCAGCCATGTGCATTTTATCAAACCCTCCGGGTGATGCTGCTGCTACACGTGAGAGTTTGAGAACCTGTGGGTTAGTATAAAAATTGTCCGTGCTCTCACCCAAATCCATCGAGATTATGGCTACCAGTTTAATTTACTTACAGTCTTCATTATTGTCAGGTCCCTGCTCTGAAAGCATCGATGACTCCAAATGCCGTGCTTCATGGAGGCCAGACTCCACCAGCTAGCTTTTGAAACTTCATTATCGGGTTTCGTCTCTCCAAACTTGTTCTCACTAAACTCCGTAAGCCGGTGAACATTTCAGTCGTGACAGTATGTTCACTTTTTAAGTACCATATCTCAGAGTATATATATGCCTGCCCCCCACCTACTCATCCAACCCCAGCCAGGGTTGGACTAGGACCTTTATAAATCCTAAACAGTGAAAAGTGGCTGGCACTCCTCACTCATGTGAAAATAAGCATAATACATAGCTGTAAAATAATAAAGTCTACGAAATTACCGATTATTTCCCATATCTATGGGTTTGCTACTTTGAAAATATATTTCTCGAATTCATTTTTAAAAGTGATTTTTGGTGTCACTCCGCTTTCTACTGCTCCAAGTCTCTGCTCAATACATCTGATTAATCCAGTTCTGCCTTTGCAGATCCAAATCCTACTCACTGTCGAGAGCCCTGCTCATTTTATGAGCAAAATGGGATAAACAAATGAATAAGCAGTGTCACCTATTCAATTAGTGAGAAGAAAGGCATTTTGTATTTTAGTTCTTTTTTCCCCTTTCAGCCCTTGTACAGTAAGAAATAATTCCTAGCTGACTGCAAGGTCCCTGCTCATTGTCCCTTTGATGGCAAGTGTCACAGGCAGCCTACCGGGGTTCTGGATGGAATAGTCTCCCCTCTACTGCCTAAACTCAGTTTTCAGAACCCTTTTAGTTAGCAGGTACCTGCTGAATTCTCACAAGAAATGACAGCTGCCCAGAGGTGTGACACTCTGCACATTAGCAAAGACAGCACCTGACAATCGAGAAACATACCTGGAAGACAGGGCTCCAAAGGTTTTTTTTTTTAAAGCCTCCTTTTAAAGTGAATCAATCACTCCAGTATTCAGTGTTTGAACATCCCTTATAAACCTAGCCCCACCTAAATGCCAAATACCTAAAACCTTTCAATAAATATTTTACCGGTACAAATGTTCCTATTTATAAACTTTTAAACCTACAATGTTAGTGATACATTCGACGAAGTTTTTCCTCAATAAACGGACGGTAGACTTCGTATGGTCTACAGGACTCTGAGGAGAGAAGTGGACACATTTTTGAACCGTGTGAAAGGTAGAAACTAACAAGTTATGGACCTCCGTCCAGTGACTGCCCCGTGGACTCATCTCCGACAGAGCTGACTAAAACCACCCAGCCCTCTTTTCTCTCTCCCTGTTAACCGACCTCCCCAGCCCTCTGATTCCACAGCCCCTAGACTCACCCCCCATCAGTGAGCCTGAAACGAGCACGTTGTCTGGAACTTCTCTTGGTCCCTCTTCTTCGCCCTCCATGGTACTCAGGTATTCTCTTGGGCCGGACGAGCTCTATGTTCTATTTCCGTTGGTCGTGAAAATTCTGAATTCCATGCTCCCCCTCCCCCTGAGAAATCCCAGTGCTGTGGCTGGCTGAGCCGCACCGTCCTAGTCAGACGGCAGAGAACAGCGACAGAGAACAGACCAGGCAGGGTAATCCGAGTACTACCTGTGGTTAGACACACACAGCACGCTCCCACACATGCTCCACCTAGCTGGCTGGAGGCTAGCAGAAGCCCCCAACGGCACCCCCCCCCCAGCCCCCAGTCTGGAAAG